ATTTTCCGGGAAAAATTTTTTGGTACTAGTCGGGCAAAATCACGAAAAGTCGGGCAATTTTACGAAAAGTCGGGCAATTTTCTTTCCGCCCCCCTAATTTTTTCCTTCCGGTACGCCCATGCAGCCTAATGTGTTAACTAATGGAGGAAGTCTCCAACTTCTGAATGCCGATTAATTTAAGACCCGGTTTATACGGTACTGGACGAATTTGGGACCGGTCTGAAATTCACCCTTTTTCACCTGTCCTGCTTACATTGGCACAGACCATTCAAATTCATCTATATAGTGACTGATTTAGACTAAATGGCTGGCTTGGCTAGCATGTACACAAAATCTGTGAAGGGATTAAGTGACAAGCCAATTAGGTGCCAACCATGGCCATCCTATCTTTGGCCCATTTTAGACAGCATACTTTTCATGTGCCAAACTTAACCCACTGAGTCGCATTGCGCCCTGATGCACCCTACTTTATTATTTTACTCTGTCTAACACCAGACGATTTTACTCGTCAAGGGGAGAGCGTTAGCTTAATGGGTTAACTGGCCTATCTCCCATGTGTCTAGTTAACCCATTGAGTTGTATTATGCCCTGATGCGCTCTACTTTATAATTTTACTCTGTCTAATGCCAGACAATGTCACTTGTCAAGGGAAGAGCGCTGGCGCTTAACCCATTGAGCCGCAATGCATCCCAGTGCACTCTACTTTTTTACTTGTCTAACGCCAGACGATTTTACTCATCAATGGGGAAGCTCTGCAGCTTAATGGGTTAACCAAAAAATCTGACAATGTCTCTAGTTAACCCATCTATCCACAATGCACCCCAGTGCGCCCTACTTATTTTTTACTTGTCTATCGCCAGACAATTTTACTCGTCAATGGGGAAGCTCTGCAGCTTAATGGGTTAATTGACAAATTAGGTACGACAGAAGAGCAATGTGTAAATCAATTAATTATGACAATTGCGCTATGGTGACATTAAAGCGACATTGATTAAAGGTAGGGTACAGTCCATATATAAACAAAGGCTTTGTTTACATTTTGGTTTTCAAAATATTGAACTTTATTCGACAACTATTTATATTTTCATGCTTCTACAGTATAATAAATGATCAAGATACAACAATCAGGCTTTGCAAGAACATAAAATGTTCACGGCAGGAGACTCCTATGTGCGCATGTGCAGACCGGACTGTACCCTATCTTTAATACATTGCTCCACTTGTGCACCTACTTGTGAAACCTATTTCAACTTTTGAAATTTGTTAGTGTTAGATTTGCCATCTTGTATAGCAATAACATTGTTTGAATCACTGCCGTTCATGTATAGCTCCAGCGTCGCAACTAAACAATTCAGTTTGCACATGGAGGTATGCCATCTGAAACAGGCTTTCAATAACTAGCATTCTATATTGGTGGATTAATCAGGACTGCTGATGACTTCCCAATTAAATGGTCCATTACTATACTATATCACATGACAATAATTACCAACTCTAATTGGAAAATCAGGGAGGCATGAAATAATTAAATTAATGCTTAAAAAGGTATAATCAATATGTCAAAAAGCAAATATGTACATTTTATGTATTGTACAAATTCATAGGTCATAAAAACTCGCACTTAAAAAGGCGGAAAATACGTTTAATAATTCAAAATTGTGGCTTGTCTTGTTTTACTTTTTTTAAGGCTTTTCAGACAAGCGAATAAGATGGACATTAAATGCACTTACAATTTGTAATTTTATCGTCTTGCCATCCAATTCTATGGTCCTTATTTTCTATAGAAATAAAATATAAATTTATTACTGGTGTGGTCGTATACAAAAGGAATGCATGTGCTTATATGAAAGCACTTGGCAATACTCGTCGAAATGCCAAAATGTGTAATTTAATAATACAAATTCTTGCTTTTCCTGAATTCAATGCAATGTGGTATATTTCGATGAAAAATTGACATTAGTATACTTACAAAGTCCACTCCAATTGTACTGATATAACTTTCCGTATATGTATCATCCTGTAAGACAATATAAGATTATTTAAGGCTCGAAAATCATTACAAAGCGAAAGTCGTTGACTACGCCTGCCTGTTGGCAAACCACTTTGTGTGATTTTGACGGCTTTGTACTTTAGAGCGAAGGAAAGTAGAGCGACTTTACTCACCGCAAATCGAAGCAATAAACAGCTTTTCCCTACTCCTGAATCCCCGATAAGTAATAGTTTAAACAGATAGTCACTAAAGGATAAAAAATACGGCAAATTAAAAGGACGACAAAAGAGATTCCAGTTCCTATTTATTACGACACACACGGCTTTAAACACCATAAACGCAACGTATAAACAAATCGTTTTACCAAGAAAAATAGGTATAATTTTTAAACTAAAATGATACTTACTATTCGGGATTCATTGTGGACATATTATGGTGAAACAAGCTTGATAAATAACGAAGAAAAAGCCGATTTGCTCTACCAATTCGGGGCAACTGTAGAGCTGCCTCTACCGGTGCAGTGACGTGTTCGCTCAGGTTAGCACTATTTTCCATCCAGCAAACTGACCTGACGTCATTTTCGCAAGATAGAAGAGGTGTTAAATGGTTATGTAACTAACCCAAACCCTACCCCTACTCTAACCCCTAACCCTAACCTCAACCCTAACTCTAA